TGAGTAACTGTGGGCTCTCCCCAGCTTCAGACACAGGATGAGTTCACATTTTATCCTTTGACCTGTAACTGCCCCAGCTAGAGCTTCTGAATGGAATGATCAAAGTCTAGCCTTAGATACTGTGTATGCTCAATAGCAATTCAACATTTAGTGAATCAAAACCTCCAGGTCTGGCATTGTAGATCAGGGATGACGACAATGTGTCTCCTTGTATAAGGATGAGAACATTTATCATTGTACTTTGGGCAAGTCACCTAACATTTCTGTTTAATTTCCTCGCCTGTAAAATGAGAGTAATAATAGTACCTACCTTATAGGATTGTTGTGAGGTGAGTTAACATTTAAGCACCTGGAATAGAGATGGGCACTTTGTAAATGTTAGCTGTCATTATTATTGAAAATTAATACTTTTCTGTCTCAGATAAACATTCCTCTAGAACCTGGGTATCTGAAATAAAATAAAGTCAGAAATATGAGGATTTATGAATTGTGAAAGCTCTATGAGAGTGTGCCACACTTCTCAGATATCAGTACTCTGAAGTCATGGTTCTTAGTTTTCTGAGGTACTGTGTCAATTGGAAAGCTGGATTGAAAGATTCTCAGCAGGGGATGAAAGCATGTGTTTTTAAATTTTTTTTTAGGGTTCTGCTCGGTGGCTAGTCACAGCTAACTAAAATCTGTAACCGTACCTACCCAGACAGTGTTTTCTGTAAATCTCAATCGCTAAGCTGACAGGGGTGTGAGAGTTCTTTAAAATATCCAAGTTTCATGGGAAATGCTAGCAATTCAAGATCTGGATCCAAGTTTAGTTCGTGTCTCAAGGAGATGATGAGGATAATGATAACAATCAACCACTAGTTTTTAAGAAATGAAATATTTTTATTTAAATACATAGAACGCTGTTATTCTAATTTCCTTTCTTTTCTTTCCCTCCCTCCCTGCCTGGATGTTTTCCCTTCCCCTTTCCTCCCTCTGTCTTTGCCACAAGAACTATACGTTCCTCTCCTCAGAAGCACTTTCAGCAGTTGGCAGATCCTTCAATTCCCTTTTCTGTATATATACACACAGATGCAATTAGAAATTGTTTTGTAGGTAGATTTAAAATTATTTTATATAAACAGGGTATTTTGAGTTGCTGCCTACATTATTTCTTCTCACTTAAAATGTCTTTTCTCTCCATTCCAATACATAGAGATCCATCTCTTTCTTTTGAATTGCTGCTTATTACAGCATTATATGGGTGCACCATAGTTTTATTTATCCATTCACCGCTTGTTGGAATTTGGGTTGCTTTCCATTTTCTGCTCTTACAAACAATCCTCCCATAGCCCTCTTTGGGCACATGCAGTTTCTGTGCCATAAAGTACATTTAAAAATAACTTGCCAAAACTGGATTTAGATTTAAATTACAGAATACATTTTCATTCCACTCTAAAAGTTTCTAGTCCCTATGGGCCTTGTTTGATTTTTTTGGATAGATAGCCACATTTTATTGCTGGTTGAAAGCATTTCATATCTTTTCAACAAAAATTGGCCAGATAATGGTGATGGCCACAAAAAAGGTGAAATGTCCATCTCAGTAAGACATTCCCTACTTAAGAGTCATCTACAAGTGTCATAATGAGAGTGGCAACCAAAACATTTCTTAAAATCTTCAGGATTGCAGAGGTAATCGCCTTCAGCTGTGTAGCCTGGCAACATTTTGTACCATTACAAAATCTCTTTCATAAACACCAGTCCCCTTCGTTTTTGGTTAAATTGTATGTTGAGTACAGTTTGCTGGCAAGTCTGCAGTGGGATGCCCGTCTCCACAAGGTGCTCATCACCGGTATTTGTGGTTAGCATTCGGCACAGCCTGTACACTTCACTATCTCTGTTTAATAAAACACTTGTTTTCAAAAGCATGAGGCCCAGATCTGTTGAGTCTGATGTGATGTTATCTTTCAACTGCACAGGCTCTACCACGAGCTTTGGAAAGTTTGTTATCTGACACAGATCTGTCGGGACCTCTTCTACTGTCAACCCACCACAAACCAATAAGCTAAGGTTAATTCAAAGATTGACTATTTAGTGACTAGATACTCTGAGATAGTTCTATTAAAAATCGCTACTCTGTGAACTCTTTTTTACTGGTCCAGAATGAAATAAGGTGTTTGTTCCAGAATGTAAATCAGCACACTATTTCATTCACCGAGAAAGTCTTGCTGTGAAAAAAATGTTGACTGAACTAAACAGTGCTTTGAGATATAGTTGATTTGCATTCTGGTGCAAGCTCTTTATCGTGTACACTTGTTTGTGAACCACATTTGAGTAGCACCATCTAAGGTGCTTTATGAAGTTGAATAAATGAAAGAAAGATGTACCTACAATGGATTACTAGGAAATGGCTTTTCAGGGTGGAGGTGGCAGAATGCAGAGAAGGATGGTGAATAAAATATTCTCTTTCAGTGGGGGAATGTTCCTTTCCTGCTTTTGAGCTGCCACAAGGAAAGATGGTTATTTAAGGCCCAAATAGCCTACTGGGCTACTGTCATTCCCTAACTCATTTCCCCATCTTACTTTTTGCCCTTCTTCCTGTTAACTCTGGCATGGGATTTAAAGAAAGGAAAGCAATATATGGAAGGCTCATTGTATGGTCTATGTTTTACACACAATTAAATACAATTCTCACAAGTGGGTGAGGAAGTATTATTGTCCACTTTGTAAATGCTCAGAGGTTCAGTTAACTTGACCCAGGTCTCATCTATATATATAAAAGCCTAAGTGACCAAATGACTAGTTGACTGATCGACTGGTCGCTATGGTGCACACTGACCACCAGGGGGCAGATGGTCAACGCAGGAGCTGCAGTGGGAGTGCCACGGAGCTGATGATCCATGGGTGCCAGATGTCAGGCTCACAGCTGGTGAGTGCAGCTGTGGCAGAGTGAGCCTCTCCTGCCTCCGCGACAGAGCTACTGAGCAGCAAGGGGAGCCGGCAGGCGTAGCAGGGCTGGGGTGAGCAGGAGAGGCATGGTGCCTGGCCTGGGCTTGGGGTCCTCCTCGGCCGCCTGCCACTTCATGCACTACTACATCCCTCAGGGGATGTCGGACAGCCTGCGGGGATTGGGCTGAAACCAGCATTCTGACATCCCTCAAGAGGTCCTGGATTGCGAGAGGGCACAGACTGTATTTAAGCAAGTGGAAGATTTGAGATTGGAACCTAGGTCTCTGGGTAGTTTGTTCTTTTATTGTCACATCCAAGGAGGGAGCTAACAGAATCCAGGACCCAGGATAGAACTTTAAAAATGCACACTGACACACTGATGTTCCATTTTGGAACTTTGAGGCTCGGTTAGTTTCATAGTCTGCCTTCTCTAATTGACACAGTCCTGATAATTGCCCACTTCTCTGTATTCGTGTTACATACTTGTATATCCCTGTAGGTTATGAATGCCTCATCTTATCATCTTTGTATCCCACACAATAGTGTATGGGGCTTTGAAAGCATTACATGTAATAGGTTAGCACATTAATTATATTAGTCTGTAAACTTCTTTATGTGCCTAAGATAAATATTAAATAAATGAGACTGAATGAGACTCAAACACTTAAATTTTCAGATGTTGTGGTATGAAATCTACTGACCATGCATGTCATCCAATAGAGCAGTGCACAGTGAGGAGAAAGGCATTAGGAGCCTACATCAGTAAAATTTGGGGGAGAGGTGTCCAGTGACCAGGAGCATGCTAGGACATCCCCACTGAAGTACAAGCCACATTAGTGCATTGCATCTCATGATGAAGGTGGGAGCACAGTGCTTAATGCCTATGTTTTAAGGCAGCATATTTCACACCTAAGAATACTGCTCTCTGCTCTACACTGGGTGACATGAAAGGCTGCCAGTTTTGAGTGAGGCCCAGAGCAGGAAAGGGGTCTATGGCAGGTCCAAATTGTAGTAGAAGCAGGCCTGCCACTTGGTCATCTAACCTAGTAAACTCTATGATTTTAGAATTATTGGTAGTGAGGAAAATGTGGAAAAAATTAAGGCAAACTCTTGGATTTTTTTTGGTTCATTTTATTGAATAACTAAATGTACAAAAACCACATAGAGCACATTACTAAAGAAAATATTTTATTTTTCAAATATATAACAGATTCTTCACCTCCCAGTTATTTCTGTAACAATTTTATCTTTTTATTATTAAAACTAAGCACACATATTTTAATACAGTTCATCTTTTCTCCAATTAAAGACTATGTTATAATTATGATTAACTTTAGCAACCAAAGTCTAAAGATTTAAACTTTATATGGAGAAAAATGCCATGTCAAGTCCTTCATACCTGATTTGGTGCTGAGGTTGAACTTGTATATTGGTTTGTTCCAGAATCCAGAGGCCACTCCAAGACTTAAAACAAAGTGAAACCCTTAGGCTGACCTTGGTTGCTGGAGGAACCTCTGGATGGGGGATGACTGGTTTTGTTCTGCATAGAACAGCTCTTCCCCAGGCTAAGAACTGTTCTCTGGGAACCGTGAAGTGAGGTATATAGTGTATTCAGGTATTTGTTTGGGGTGGCAGGTGGGGAGGGCCTTGTTTATGTCATATTTCTATTGGTAATCACTTCTCCATAAAAATAAAGAGCAAATAGGTAGCTCCAAGTCATTGATGAAACCAATATTTTCTCACAGTTATCTCTCGCTCAGTGATAAGAAGACCAATGAAAAAGAACACAAGTAGTAAAAGTGACTGGTAACTGATAGTGGCAGAAGCTGGGACTTTTGTGAAGGTCTCTCGGGCTTGATTTATTCTAAGCAGCCTGTAGAGAGCTAGAATTTGAACACACTGTTTTGGATCTATCCTTTTACAGTGGGGCCTTGACTTACGAGTGTCCCGACTAACGAGTTTTTTGAGATACCAGCTGTCTCTCAGCCGATTTTTTGCATTGAGTTGATAGAGTAATTTGAGTTAACGAGCTCCTTAACGAGCTCGGTCTCAGAACGAATTAAACTCGTAAGTCAAGGCCCCCCTGTACTTTTCTCCACTCTTCATTGACGTTTTTACATAAAAAATAGGGTGAGGGAAAAAAATCTCCATATCACTATAAAACCTAAGGTCATATCCAAACTTCCCAATGAAATGTCCAGTATGAATTCAAAATTAAATAACTAAAATAAATAATGAGTAACTAATGAGTTTTTTTTTTTTTTAAGGTAGCAAAAATATATGACCTCAGTGATTTCTTAGCATAATGCTGATCCGTTAAATGTGGGTAAAATCCCATTCAGGGGGAAGGTTTGGAATCCTATATAAAAATATAACATGCATTAAAACAGAGAATTCTTAAATATAAAATAATTCAAGTTACCATATCCTTATTGATATTAATATATCACAAATAAAATTATAACAAACATTTTAGCATAAAATGCAGTTCATTTCTAGTTAACACACTGAAATAATCGACACTCAAATTCCAACTACTATCGCATATGATGAAATTCCAGTAAAAAAAAGAATGTTCAGAACTGTCAGAGTAACTAGCTATTAGAAAAATCAGATTTATGACCCCTTCTGAAATTTTTAAAGCCACACAGGTTTACACCAAATTACTCATAGTGAGGAAGAACAATGTACTGTATTGAAAACAGACCTTCTTCAGGGGTCTTCTTAACTTGTCTCTGGACAACTTTAAAAGCCTAAAGTTCTGTACCATATGCTGTTCTCAGGGTCAGTACCATGAGATGTCTTGTAAAAAGATCTTTTGGTATTACTGATAACAAAAGCACCTTGGAATGGATCCAAGATGACATGTGTTATAAATTCTGCTTTATAGTAAGATACATTTAAAGTGTAATTGAACGTATTTACCATAAAGAGTACCTATGTAAACAATAAAAGTATTCCTTTGAAGTGAAACTCTGCTGCTGCCGAAGAAGTGCTCAGTTTCTACTACCATAGCTTAACACGGCTGATATGTCATTTCCTTAGTCCAGAGGAATTTTCTTGATCTTTTAACTTACAATAACGACCTGGCACTAGTCTAGGTATATAAAAACGTAATTGTCACAAGTCACACCAAAACATGACAACTAACACAAATTTCTGCATGTCTTCAAAAACTGTCTTTGGATAACAACTATAATGCTTAATGCTGAAGAGGATCCAAAGAAGCACTCTAAATGATAGACAGTATTTAATGATGGTAAATAAGAATTACTTTCTAAAAATTTTAAGTTAAACATAATGTAAAATTATTTCATGAAATATAGTCTCAGTCTATGCTCTCCTGACAATACTCCCAACAAAAAGCTTCCAGTCTATTTGCTGTTTCTTGGTTGATGAGACATTCCTCCTTTAATTCCCTGATTGTCTTCCCCAATGATTTTTGGAAACGTTTTTCTCGGTCTAAAACATTCCGCAGACTTTTCTTGGTATCCTCTAGCTCGCTGATCACATGATCTAATTTATACTTAAGTTTCTTTGGACTGTCCATTACACTGTAGCTATGTTCCTAAAAACATAAATACCAAGTTAGTAAAATAACAGACAAGTAATTAGCCAAAAGCTTATAACTAGGCCTCAGCTGTTTCTCCAGTTACTGTGCTTAGAGAAGACCTTTAAGTTGGTGATAGTAAGTTGGTGTCAGTAAGTTGGTGAACATAAGAAGAGGATAAGGGAGTAAGCAATATTTCAGGTGCCTAAAGCCTCTTTCTTTTGTTGAAGGCCAGACAGACAAGAAGAGAGCAGAATGCTATCGATGGGATGTACTTCTCATTCAAAGTAGGTATCTGCTTATGAACACCATGAAACCCACAATGACTATAAGGCTTTCATTCCCTAAGTGTGGGGCTTCTAAGCTTAAGTTTTAACAATAAAAAGAAACCCTTATATTGTTAAATTTGTAACTGAGTTACTTTAGTGTGATGAACAGTTGACTTTATAAAGGAAGTCAGGAAAGGAGCACTGACTGAAGCAGGCCCTCAGGCTGGGTGTTATGGGTTTAAAGAGGACTCGGGCCTTTGATTTTTAAAGAAATAATTTAAGTTCTCTCAATATTTATTATGACTATGTGTATGTTTGCTGGTATACTTTTTTCATTTGAAAATATGAAAGATAACACTGACATTTATAAAGGCACTACAAAACATTTTGAAAAGCTTTTATTTAATATTAAAATTAGTGAAGAGAACTTTTGCTTCCAACCAAAATGAAATAAGAGACTGGAATGACACCTATCTTAAAAAACCAATACAAGGCCCAAGATATAAAGTTTTGACTGATCAATTAAAGTGATAATTGTCTAGTCAGGCTGATCAGCAATAAACGTGAACAGAAACAAAGGATCAGAAATGAGGTGATATTACTACAGATTTTATAGATATTAAAAAGATAATAAGGAAGTATTATGAACAATTTTAAGCGAATAGGCAATGACAACTGAGATGAAATAAACAAACCCCTTGGAAAATACAAGCTAGCAAAAGTCTCTTCCACAAAGAAAACTTCAGACCTAAACAGCTTTGCTGGAGAATTCTACCAAATATTTATGGAAAAAATAATTCCAATTCTATACAAATTCTTCCAGAAAATAAAAAACAGAGGCAATATTTTTTAACTCATTGAGTTCAGCATTATTCTGATAATGACAAAAAGACTGTAACAAAAGAATATAACAGGCCAATATCATTCTTGAACATACAAGAAAGTATTCTAAACAAAATCTTAACATTGAACCCAATAATATATGAAAGAAATAACGCATCATTAAGAAGTAGGGTTTATTCCAGGAATGGAAGGATAGTTTAACATTCAAAAATCAACTGATGTAACTAATCATATTAACAAAGTAAAAAAAAGTAAAATATAATCTCTCAATAGATAAAAAAAATCATTTGACAAAATTAGCATTCTTTTCTGATAAAAATTCTCAGCAAACTAGGAATAAAAAAACACTTCCTCAGTCTGATAAAGGGCATTTACAAAAAGCTGTAGTTAACATCATATTTAATATCATATTAATGTCTTTAATGGTGAAAGACAATGTTTTCTTCTTAACTCAGGAGCAAGGTATGGAGCCCTGACCAGGTAGCTCAGTTGGTTAGAGCATCATCTCTATACGCCAAGGTTGTGGGTTCAATCCCCAGTCAGGTGCATACAAGATTCAACCAATGAATGCATAAATAAGTGGAATAACAAAATGATGTTTTTGCCTCTTTCTCTCTCAAATCAATAAATAAATTTTAAAAAAATCAGGAGCAAGGATGGAGATTAGTTCTTAGTAATTCTATTTGGTATAGCTCTGAATGTTCAAGGCAGGGCAAGAGAAAGAAATCAGTTATTCATATTGAAAAGAATCAAAACTATTTTTAATGACAGGCGACATGATGTAGAAAATCTGATAGCTTCTACAAAAAGCTTTGATAATTAATACGTGAGTTTAGCAAGTTTTCCAGATATAAGATCAATATAAAAAAAATCAATTCTATTTAAAACAGTATCATTTACAAAAATGAAATGAAAGATCTGTCCACTGGAAACTATAAAACACCACTGAGAGAAGTTAAAGGCCTCAATATATGAAGAGATATAATGAGTTGGGGTTAAAAGATGTAAAAGAGACTTATTAAGATTGCAATTCTTAAAAAAGAAAAACAAAGATGGTAATTCTTTCCAAATGAATATATAGATCCGACATAATCCCAGTCAAAATTCTAGCTGGCTTTTTTTGTGGATTTTTTACAAAGTGATTCTAAAATTCATATAAAAATGCAAAGGACCCAGAATATCCAAAACAACTTTGAAAAAGAACAAAGTTGGAAGACTACCAACTTTGATTTAAAGAATTATTAAAAAGCTATAGTAATCAAGATAGTAAAACAGATCTGAATTCCAGGCCTGGTTCTAACATGATCAGACAATGGAATGTATAAATAAGTGCAAGCTTGACTACTCTGTATGTGCATGATTATACTTTAAAACCTAAAGACATAACTATTTTTTAAATTACATGGTTCCATATAAAAATATAGTACGTAAAGGGAGGAACTGCATTTTCTTGGCTGAAATATCCTTGTGAAAGCATTCTCTTAACTAAATATGTAAACAAAGGCTTAACTACCTCTAATTTGTTATTGTATTATGATGGCTCTGGGAAGCAGTTTATTTTTGGATATTACAGATTAAAAAGAAAAATCTCAAACATCTAAACCCCTAGGTTTTTTAAATAAGATTTTGAAAGGTTTAAAGGAAAGGAAAAATTCATCTTAAAAATATCAACATTAGCTCAGTAAGTAATTTTACTTACAAAAATGAACTGGGATCGAAATTCTTCGATACACGTGGAAGCACCAACAAGCTTGTGATTGTGGTTTGTGACTGGAAGGGTTTTGAGGATAAAGTTTTTTCTACAAGGAAGTTGTTCTCTTTTCCCCTGTTAAAAATTGTTAATAAAAATTATTATAGATATTTCCGTCCTTTTAAAAATTTTATTCCTTCCTTTGTAAAATTAATACATTTCCTTTAATGAAAACAGCTTTTAAAAGTCAGTAAAATTTAAATTCCACTGAAATTACTTTAAAGGAACTTTTACAAAATTACTCTAAAGTTCATTTAGAAGCACAAATTTTCCTAAAAAAGAAGAGTAATAATGATAAAAGATATGTCCTCCAGGTATTAAAAAAATTTTACACAGAAATAATAGTAAAAGTGATTTGCTACTCTCTTGGACAAAAAGCCTTTTAGAATAAAAGGCTAAAAAAATTGAATTATGAGTAAGTGGAGAAAAGCTATAAATAATGTCAAAATGAAATAAGAAAACAGTTATATCCTTATCTACACTAATAAAAGAGAAAAATGGTAATTGGCGTACGCTACCTTTTCATTGGCTAATCAGGGCTATATGCAAATTAACTGCCAACTAAGATTGGCAGTTAACTGCCAACAAGATGGCAGTTAATTTGCATATGTAGGCACAATGCAGGGAGGCGAAAGGGAAAGCAGGAAGAAGCCCCCTGCTACTGACAGTGATCGGAAACCCAGGGGGGGAGCTAAGAGCTGGGGGGCAGGGCAAAG